CGCCAGGCGTGGCTACGGCGTCGGACAAGGCAGGCCCCGGGCGCCCGCCCGTCCAGAGGGGTCTGCTGGACAGAGGGCGCTGAGGGCGGTTCTTGCGCCCCCCTGGGGACAGCACCAGGCAGAGGAAAACCCGAAGAAGGAAGACATCGGAGGCTAAGCACCGGGCCCTGCTCCCACACGTGGAACCTTCTTCCCTCATCCAGCCTGCGCCGTCCGATTAGGCAGCCATTAGCCACGCCACGTGTGTCTATTTAAATTTACGTTAATTAAAGCGAAATAAAATGACCAGTTCAGTCGCACAAGTCACCTTTTAAGTGCTCAACGTGCACCTAGTGGCTCCAGTTGGGACAGCACAGGTCTGGGACATCGTCCTCCATCGAGGGGCACAGACTGGACAAGGTGGGCGGATTTCCCTCCCCTCCCCCCACCTGCTTAAGGATAAGAAAGGTCAGAGGCTTCACTGATTGATGGAAGCAGGATTCAAACCCAAGTCTGACTTCAAAGAAGCCCTTTCTAGAACCCCCCAAGTGAAGGGGAATCCGGCCCCCCCTCAGGAGGTACCCCTCTGTCCTCCCCACCGGCCCTCCCCACACTCTCCGGCTGCCCCAGACCGCCAAGGTCCCAAATGAAAAAGCAGAGGAAGGGAGCTGAGCCCATCTGTGAATCACCAAGCAGCCCAACAGGAGAGGAGCCTGCTGTCTCCGGAGGGCAACAAGCCCAGGCCTAGGGCTCAGGAAAGATGAGAGGATCCTTCCCAGTAGCCCTTTAGAAGGAGGAACGGGTTGTGTCCAGCCAGCCTGTGGGCGAGGTCCTGGGTTGGACAAATTCTACAGGGAAGCCTTTCCTGTCCAAGGGGTGACCCAAACAGCAGCTCCAGGGACATGCATCATGACTCCGGAGCCTGACAACAGAAAGTCAGAAGTGCAAAGGGCATCACTCCCATCGTACAGATGAGCAAACTGAGGCTCAGAGAAGTGACTGGCCCAGAGTCACACAGATGAGCACCCAACCCAACACTCACGCTTTCCGCTCCTTGATCCCCTCCACTACCCCACTGGCAGTGGGTGATGTGCCCATTTTCCGGACCAGGACACCCAAATCTGACAGGAGCAGCGACAGCCCCTGGGCATGCTGCCCGCACGTGGCTAAACTGGGACTTGAACTCACAGGGACTTCCCGTGCTCCCTCGTCAGGAACACCCTCAGACTGTGCCCTGCTGTTTGATTCCTATGACTCTTTACTGACGTATGAACCAAAAGACCCCTCCTCCAGGGCCAGCCTGAGCCCCAAAGCGCATGGTGGTGGAGAAGCCTCGCTTTAGTCTAAATTAGAGATGGTAACGTTGATGGCGATTTCAAACAGCGCAAGTGAAAGTCACACACACTGTGCGACCTTGGGCCAGCCTGGCCCCCCTGACCTGTGCCCTCCTCTGTGAAATGGGAAAAGGCTGTATCCTCCCAGGACAAGGTCTCCAGCTACGAAGTCCCCCAGGGCTGCAGGCCAACATATAGGTACTCGTCTGATGCTAAATAATTCAAAGCCGTGTTTTCAGTTCCAGATAAACACAGCCCTGTCGCCAAAAGGAATGCCAAATTTGCATGAATGTTTAAGATAAAATGAGGCTTCAAAGAAACGCTGCGGGCGCTGGATCCCTCCCCAAATCCTGCAGGGGACAAGTCCTCAGGGGCAAAGATGTTTCGGTGCTCAAACAAGACATGTCATTTCTTCACCACAGAGCAGGTCTCCAGTCGATTCTTGCTGCACCAACATGACCTTGAATAACCCCGGGTCTCACCGCTGCCAATCTGTGTGACCTTGGGCAAGTCACTTAACCTCTCTGTGCCTCCCTCTCACCATCTATAAAATGGGATAATGACAGCACTGAGCTCACAGGGTGGCAGTGGAGAATAAACAAGTGGATTCCTGTTGGGCATAGAACTTGGCACGTAATCGGCGCCTGGAATGTGTCGGCTGTTACTGCTCCCGCATTATATATATAAAGTGTCTCGTACCTATAATGTCTTCCAGCTCCTAGACTAAACGTTCACTTGACAGGGTATAAAGGCCGTTCCCCACCGCCAGGATCTTCAAAGGACGCCAGCTGCCCTTTCCTGGTATCACTTCTCCGGGGACCCTCCAACACCCACCTATGACGTATGCCAAGGCCTTCCGAGAGCCCCCTCCTGGCCTAGCCCTCCCTGCGCTGGGCGCCTGGAGCAGAAGTGCCAGCTCCTGCCAGCTCTCCTTTCGGGGAGCCCAGTCTCTGAGGAGTCACCTGGGGAGGCTGCTGCTGGCCGAGGCGGAGAGGAAACAGAGGCGAGAAGACACACCCGTGAACGTGCACACGCACAGGCCCCCAACCCACCACTGCCAGAAGCAGCACTGGCCGGGGCTTTCAGTCTGGAGAGCTGGGGGGGGGAGAGCCCCAGCCCCCTGCTTCTGCTTCTGCCAGGGTCAGGAGTAGGTGTAAAACCCCCTCAGAAATCTGAGCCAACCACCAACTTCTCCACCTACAGGCTCAGGTAGGGGGTGGGAACAGAGCACAAGGTACACCCCCACCTTCCAGTCGGGGGGAAACGGGGCCTGGCAGCTCCACAGGCAGCCAGAAGGGCAAGACGCTGGGGGCCGGGCTCCTGGGGCCGCTTCACCACGCGTGAGCGGCCGGCCGCCAGCCAGCCCCCGCCGGGAGAGCGAGCAGCCCTCCCCAGCCGGGCTTGCGTGCAGCTTGAATTCCCATTTGCAGAGCTCTGGGAAACCTTTAGGAGGTGGTACGAGGATTATTAATTGGGGGAAAAGAGCAGACAGATTATGCCAAATAAATCCTTCCCACGTAGCCAAACCCTGGCCGAGGGAAGGAGGGGGTGTGCACACCCCACGAGGGGTCCCCATCCCTCACCAGGGCCTGACAGCCACATCACCATCTACATGGGTTCATCAATAGTATTGATCCCAAGCAAGCGTAAATAGCTCGGTGGGAAGAGGCAGGGCTGGGGCCCAGTCACTCCTGCCCACTGGGCACCACAGACTCAGTCCCTGGGCACCCAACAGCGCCGGCGGCGTTGGTGAATTTCCAAGCAGGGCAGCAGGTGTGGGGAAGCCAGACCCACCCCAGATGTCCCTCTCAGCCCCGCCACCAGTTCACACGCACAGCTGGCTCCGGGCCCCCAAATGCTGGCACAGCAGACTCGGTCTGCGCATCTAGCCAGCGCGCCGAGGGCACCGCCAGCCCTCCTGGGTTCTAAAGGGCAACAGCGAGGGATGGGAAGAGGGCCCGCACCCTTGCGCCACATGGCCCACTCCCCAGGCCCAGGATTTCCTGGCCACGGATCAAAGGCCAAGTTAGAACCCAGGAGTGACAACGGTGGCCACAGCGACACAGATGAATATCTCCCACGTATAATTTACCCTCCGTTCTCACAACAACCCTGTGACTCCGTACTCTCTTCATCCCACTGTGCAGATGAGAAACCTGAGGCACAGAGAGGTGGAGTCGCTGGTCCAGGGTCACACAGCCAGGAGAGCAGAGAAAGTAAACTTAAACCCAGGGAGTGGGCTGCAGAGGTGGCTGAGAATCCTGGCTATCCCAGATCACACCTCTTCCTTTCCGGAGGGCTCCCCCCTCACCCCCCCATCGCAAAAAGGAAAAGGCCACCCAGGACGACGTGCATGACAATGCCATGGGGACCCCTTCCCACCCCGCTCCGGGCCCAAAGCGCCCCTCAGATCACAGCAGCGGCCAGACCCAGATCTCGTTTAAAAAGGGCAAAGTCAAGGCCACCGATAACACAACCCATCCTGCCCAGAACTCCCCCATCCAGCCCACAAGGATTTTCTCTCCCCCCCTCCCTCCCGCACACATCCTTCCTCCAAATCTGCAAAAGAAAAAAAATAATCATAATAAAACCAGTTCTCACCAACAGGGGGGGAGGAAGAGGGGGAGGAAGGGAGGAGGCTGAACCGACAGAACAGATCCGCCTCCGCTGCCGGCACCAGACCCAGAGAGAGCTGGAGCGCGCTGCTGGCGGCGGGAGGACGCACGCTTCCCCCCCAAAATAAACCCACAATGTAAAAATAATGCCGGGCGCCCCGCGTTCACGGGGGCCAAGCAGCAGCAGCAGGTACCGCGTGTCTCCCCCCCACCCGCCTTGCCTTCGTCCTCCCTCCAGCCTTTCCCTGCAAGCGTCTGGGGTGGAGAAGGCGCGCCCCACGGGTGCCCCCACGCCCCGCAGGTCTCTGGGGATATTCCCCCACAACGGGGGCCTGGGGCCTCCGGGTCCAGCCCAAGTAGGCTCAGCTCTGAATTCCAACTTCCCGAACTAGTGGCATCTCAAGTATCTGCACAGCCCGGGGGAGGGACCAGGAGGCGGCCCAAGGAGGCGTCACCGGCCGCGGGAGGCAGGCCCAGACACCAGGAACACCGGCGGCGGGGGAGGGGGAACAACAGGCGCCTCTCCCGGGGGGGACCCCCGCCCAGCGCCCTCTGGTCCCAGGCCCAGGAGCGCCCGCAGCCAGGGCCACCCCCAGGGCTGGCAAGACCCCCCCCGTACGCCCTTCCATAGCAGCCAGGCCAGGGAGCTGGGGGGTGCCATCTCTAGGGGCTCCCCAAACCCGCACCGCCTGCTGAAAAATAAGGTGCAGTGTCACCCCCAACTCTGGGGCCGCCACGGGAGGAGGCAGGCGCATGGCGGCCATGTCCCACAAGGTGGGGAGCTGACCTCCGCATTTCCAGGGCGCCCCCCCACGCTACTTCCCTCCTTCCCGCCCCCCTCGCCGGGGCGCTGGAGTTCCCCTAAGTTCCCCGGTGCCCCCACGCACGCGGGCTGCAGTGTCGATGGGGCGCCTTGCTCCCCGGCAGGCCAGCCCCCGAGAGCGCCAACTCGGGAGTGCAGGGGCCCCGCCAACTCCGCCGCGTGCGCCGCCCGCTCTCCCCCCGATCCCCCGGAAGCGCGCCCCGGCCTCCCCCACCCCGCCCTCCGCCGGGACCCGCGACCCCAACTCACCTCGCGCGGTGGCGGAGGCGGCGCCAAGGCTCAGGGTGCTCGGGGCCGCCCGGCGCTCGGGCAAGTGGCGGTGCCGCGAGGGCCGGGGGCGCGCAGCAGGCCCAGCCTCCGGCCGGGCGCGATCCTCCCGCCGCCGCCTCCTAGGGCGCCAGCCCCGGGTCCCCGGCCCGCAACTTGGCGCGCATCGCGGGGCGCAGGGCGGGGGCGCACGGCTCGGGCGGGGCGCGGCGCGGGCGGACGCAGGGCTCCGGTGCGGCCCGGCCTGCCCGCGGCTCCGCTCCCCGGCGGCGGCGGTGGCGGCGGCGGCGGCGGCGGCGGGAGGGGGACGAGGGGGCGGGGCAGGAGCCCGGGAGGCGGCGGCTCGTCCTCCGGGCTCCGGCCTCCCCGCCCGCACCGACGCGCCTGGCCCGGCCCCCTCCGGCTCCTTAAAGGGCCCGCGCCGTCCCCGCGGTTCCTGCGCGCACTCGCCGGCGCGCGCGCACGGCGCCCCTCGGGCACACACGCGCGGGCGCGACGCCGAGGTTCTCTTCTGCGGCTCCCGGAAGGGGGAAGGAGCGAGGAAAGCACCCCTCCATCCCGCCCCTCCTCCGCCGGCGGACCGCGCTTCGCCCCCTCCCTCCAGCCCCCATACTTCGCTGGAATCGCGTTTCAGCTCTGAAATGATAACTCGGGAGCGGCCAGTGGATGGCGAGGGTCACACGCGAGGCCTTTTAGGGACACACGGCTGGGCGAGGGCACGCGGGTGGAGCCCACGCTCACTCGGGAGCTACCGCGCACCCTAGGCTGGGGGCTGGGGGGCTGGGGGGGCAGGCACACTGGGCCTCGGCCGCTGGGAGATGAAATTCAGGTGCCCGCGGAGGGGCCCGCACTCCGTTGTGAGACCCCCACAGATAAACGCGGGGGCACCCACACGAGTCCCCACGCCCGCAGGCTCACACACCACCGTGGAGCTCGGGGCTTTCCACTTGTCCGCCGCCCGGCACAGCGGGGCCCGAGAAGGGGTCCTGAGCGAGCCGTCACTTGGGGACAGTCGGGGACACCGTGCACAGACACGCTGCAAGGCTGTGGTCCGGCGCGCACCCGTCCAGAAACAGCTCCCAGACCAGCACACGTGTGGACGCCCGCCGCCCACGAGCAGACACGGCTTCCTCAGGAGCCCCACCGGCTGCCCAGACAACTGTGTGTCCTCAGGTGCCCCTCCTGCCCGCTCCCGGGTGGCCCTCGCAGCCAGGGGAGCTCTTTTGACACAGCGGAGGGCACGGGGTGCGCAGGCCTGCGGCCTCTCTCCCCCTCTCTGCCTCCCCCTAAGATATTGGAGAGTTTGAATTTTTTTTTTTTTTTTCAGTTCAACTTTCCTTTTTTGGAGCGACATCTCAGCAGATTCGGTTCTGCCATCTGCCAACATCTGAGAACCCCGGGGGAGTGGGCCATGGCTGCCACGGGAGGCGGTGGGAGGCGGCCCTGCAGCTTCCAGGGGCCTGGGCCTGCTCCGCCTCCTGCCTGCTCGCCGGTGGCCTGTTTCCCTGCAGCAATTTGTCCCTCTGGGCCCCCTCCGGCTGCTGGTGTGCCTTGCGGGGCAGGAGGGGAGGGGGGAGCACCTGGGGCTGATGAAATCTGGAAAAGGGAAGTATATGTGGAGGGGTGAGGAGCAGTGTGCAGTTTGGAACAGGAGGAGGTCACAGGTCACTGTCCCACCCTCCCTGTTCTGTTCCCCACCAGCTGCCAAGCAGACCGTGGGAATCGACAAGCAAAAGGCCAGACCTGCAGAAGGCCCAGCCCAGGGTGGGCGAGGGGTGGGGGGCTGGGGGAGAGAAGGGAGGGCTGGAAGAGGGGACCCCACCCCACCAGGCAGCCCCCTCACCCTTCACCCCATGGTGTCACCTGAGAGCATTCTGGGCACTGGAGGAGGGACGGGTACTTCAGGGTTTCCTTCTCCCAGTCCCTGCCCCAAGGTTGCCCTGGGGCTTTGGCTGAGGCTGTGGGCTTAGGAGGGGTCGGGAAGGCTGGGTGGCTGTCAGCTCTGTCAGGTCCCGGAGGAAACGCCCAGGCCAGGAGAAGGGGAGGGAGGCATTTTCGGAAGAGAATTTTCCCTTTTTCTTCCCCACTCTGGCTCCTCTGTTATCAGTCGCGTCCTCATAGGCTTCAGGGCACACCAGTGCATGCCCCCAGGAGCTCCTGAATTCCCCCCAAAAACCCTCAGACATGGAATGGGGTGGGTGTCCTGGCATGGATCCCACGGTACAGGTGGGGAAACTGAGGCCCACTCAGCCAGGGATTCCAGATGGGGTCTCCAAACCCTGTCTCTGAAGGGATACGCTGGAAGGGAGTCTCTGCTGAGCCCCTGCCCACCCCCAGTGCCCACAGACTGACACCCTGTACCCCAATTCCTACTCTGTGCACCAATTGCCTTTGGGCTTTGAGTGGCAGCTCCCGTAACTGTAACAGCAGCTTTGAAAAATTGGTAAGGAACGCGCACCCCAAACAGCCTCTCCGGAGGCCCTCCATCCCCAGAACGGCGGTTGGCTCAGAGATCTCATTAAGCCTTCACAAGGGAAAAACTTGCAGCATGCGTACTTTATAAGTGAGGCCACTAAGACTTAGGGAGGTCACCCAAGGACCCTGGGCACCACACAGTAAGTGGCCCTGACCAGACTAGAACTGGGTATGGGGATGTCCTGTACACCCAGGGGGCTCCCGCCTCACTGGAGCTAAATTCCGCTCTTAGGCTACGTTCCCTCTGTCCCCCCTCCAATCGTTCAACCTTTCCCTCCTGAATACCCAACAAACTCTTAAACTTATCCCTGCCTCAGGACCTTTGCACTTGCCGTCTGTCCCCTCTGCCTGAGACAACAATCCTCTAACTCAGGTCCCAGCCCAGTGTCACCTCTGCAGAATGTCAGCTCCGTGAGAGCAGAGACATCATCTGGCAAACTCACTGCTGCATCCCCAGCACTCAGTTAAAATGTGTCGGGTGAGTGAATGAACCGATGAGTACATGTAAGAGGCGAGAAGGGGGCTGTGGGGCTGGCTGGGTCCGGCTGGGCCCCTGCATCCTCGTCTTCTGTTTGCTCCCTCGCCTGCCATGTTTCAGACCCCAGCCTTTTCCTCCCTCCGTGGGTCTCAACTTCTAGGTAGGTGGGGACTCCCTGGGCACAGTGCAGGGCCTGACACTCAGGAGATGCCCATTCAGGCTGAATGAGTCCCTGTGGGCCACATGATATCAGATCAAACCTGCCGACACTCCCCGGGGCCTGCCCCCAAAAAGTGCCCCCTGGGCAGGCCTAGGTCAGCCAGACTGAGCACAGTGCCCTGAGCCTTTTTGACCTCAGATGTCCAAGAGCCCTGGGCTGGTCGCTGGAGCACATGCAAAGGGGACCGGTCACTCCCGGGCCTCTGTCAGTGACAACCCAGGGACAAGCGAGCATGCTCACTGGAACCAGGTACACACAGAACACACACAATAATACATATTTTTTATTTTACTTTATTTTTCCCCATCACCGTTTTTTTTACTCCTGGTGGGCTTTAAAAGGGAGGGGAGGACCCTGGCTGGTTTGGCTCAGCCTTCAGGGTGTCGGCCTGTGGACCAGAGTCATGGGTTTGATTCCGGTCAAGGGCACGTGCCTCAGACCAGTCGATGTGCCCCTCTCACATCGATGTTTCTCTCTCTCTATTTCTCTTTCCTACTCAGTCTGAAAATAAATGGAAAAACATCCTCGGGTGAGCATTTAAGATAAATAAATAAAAGGGCGGGGAGGGTTGGGACTCAGAAGCTCGCAGGGCCTGAGCTGGGCAGTGGAGGTGGGTGGGGCCGGCACACCCCACCTGTCCCCGGGCCTTCACAGCAGCCGATACCAAAGGCCTAGGTGGGCCGCAGGCAGCAGGGGGGGCCTGTTTGTGACCCTGCAAAGCGGGAGCTCCCTAGGCCAGGTCACCAGTCCTGCCAACGTCCACCCAAAATAGAGGGGGCTGGTGGGGGTGGGCGCTAGAACCTTCCTCAGTGGACAGGGAGGGGACCCTCTTTCAAAACTGGAGCCAGGAGGAGGGAAAGCCCCCTGTCAAGGCAGGGGTCCCAGCTCTGCTCCCTCTGTGGTGCGCAGTGGGTGCCGCCTGTGGGGGGCGCCTGTGCTCATCAGCCCAGCCCACAGGAAGGGGCATCCGGTGCCCTGACACAGAATTCCGAGTTTGCTCACCGCCTGTGCCGAAACCCTTCGAGGGCCATGCTCTGGGGTTCGAAGCAAAGCGAGGTCTCAGGACAGGGGCCCCGGGAGGCGCCAGGCGTTCCGAAGCTCCCGTCGTCCTGCACAGAGGCGTCCGGGGCCCTGCAGCACTCTCACCGAGCTGTCGCTCAGCCCCCGCCACCCTCACCCCGCCACCCTCACCCTGGCTGCCAGAAACCGCGTGGCCCCGCACGTCTGCGCCTTGTTGGCGGCCTCAGCACGCAGGAAGAGGGAAGCGGCAAACCTTGTGTGGCTGGCCCGATTATCTCGAGAGAAACAGCTCGTTTCTCCCCACGCTGCTCTCCTGGGTGTTCTCCCACGCACCCGTGGGCTCCTGCTCCAGTCCCTGGTGTCCGGTGCGGGGGACGCAGGACACCCGGGGCCGAGCCGCTGGGGGCCATCAGTGGGGCAGGCCGCTTGGGTCCCGGGCGTTCCCCGGGCAACGGTGGCAGCTGTGGACACGCAGGACAGGCTGTGCCTTCTGATGGGGCAGGGCTCCCAGGCACCTTGTTCAGCACCAAACAGGTGCGGGCCCAGGTGTGCAGTGCAGCAGCTTCTGCGCAAAGGGGAGGAAGGTACGTACCCGTGTTACCCCTGCCTGGATGCTTCTGGAAGGGTGCTCTTTAGTTCAGGAGTGCCTGCTGCACGCTCAGCACCGTGCTGCACGTGACCGAGCAGTGACCGAGATCGGCCGTCCCTGCCCTCCTGGAGCTGACAGTCTAACGGGGGAGGTGCGGATGGAATCGGAATGAACGTGGAAGGAGGTCAGTGCTCGGAGGAAAAGTAAACCAGCGTGGACGGGGTGGACGGGTCGCCTTGCTGAGAG